TAAATACATTAAAAAAACTCAAAAACTTGTAAAAAAACAAAAGTTCTTTATAAAAAATGTAAAATTAAACAAGGAAAGATTGCAATTAATTGATAAATTGGATATATATTCAATAAAATATGATAACATTAGCCTAAGATATAAAAAAGTAAAATTGAACAATTACAAGAGTGTCTTATAAATGTTACAAAAAAATATGAACTGTCACAAAAAGAAATAAAGGAACACATGAAGGCACTGAATGAGTTGGTTGAATTATGTAATTACAACAATGACAGATTTAATTCTTTAACTAACAATCACACATGTGATTGTAAACAGTTAACAGTTCAGTCACCTGTCAATTGTGATTCCTCCATATCACAACATGTAAGTATTAGTTCCCCACAGCAGCCATCAAAGGAATGCTTGACTTCAGTGAAAACAATTCACTCGGACAACTTAGTTTTAGATAATAAATATAAAAAAATATGCCTAATGTTTCTTATAAGGATATCTTAGGAAATGCAATCAAACAGAATTATAGTAAATGCACTACTTTGTTATTTTTTGTGGGAAATAGAGGCAATTTGAACAATAAATCATTGATTCAATATGTCAATGACCTGAGCTCATTAAATGTTGAAAAAATTATATTGTTTACATTGCCCTATTGTAGAAGTCTGCCAAAGTAGGAAAATATCTTAAGATATAAATTAAATATGCTTTTGTTCACAATGTGTAAAAGTGAAAAATTTCATATTATTGACACTAACAATTATGTTAGAAATTTATATTTGACCAAAGATAAATATTATCTTTCTAATTATTATAAAAGACAGATAGCTAAGTCGCTATCATATTATTTTTGTATAACAGCCAAAAACTTGGCTAAACAAATTGCTTTTATTGAGCAATGTTCCAATGACTTGACAGTCAGTAATTCTTCTACTGACAAATTACAAAATAATAACTATTGTTTAAATTAAATAATGAGACAACAGACAACTCGTCTTGCTTAATAATAAATAATTATTGTAATAACTTGCATAAAAATATTAATTTAATTAAGAAAAATCCCAAACAATTAAAAGAAAATGTAAACTTGATCAACCTGATGCATATAAATATTCAAGGAATGATGGGTAAGGACTTAGAAATTGAATTATTTTTGAATTGTAACAATATAGATATATTTTGTATCACAGAGCATTGGCTTAAAAGTCATCAATTCATCTTTAATTTTAATAATCATCAGGTTGGTAGTTCGTTCAGTCGAGAGGATGCGATTCGCGGTGGCTCTTTAATTTTATTAAATAAGGCACTTAAATTTAAGGAACGTAAAGATATTGTGAGCCTCTCGGTTGAGCGAACAATAGAGATTGCCTGTGTGGAACTGGACCAGCTTGTTGTATTGAGTGTATACAGACCTCCTTCAGCATTGTATGATTGTTTTGAAACTATTATGGATGAAGCTTTAGAAAAAATTGTCAACACTGGTAAACGATTAATTGTTTGTGGTGACTTTAATATTAATCTATTAGAAACCTCTAATTTGAGTATTAAGTTAAGAAATCTATTTCAATCATATAATCTTGAAAACTTGTTCATGGAGCCTACTAGAATAACTGCCACTTCGGCCACTTGTATTGACAATATTTATACGGATATAATACCACATTCAAAAGTAATTGTTAATCAACTGGATAGTGATCATTGTGGCCAGATGATTACTTTTCCACATCCAAATAAAAATATCACCAAGAAATATATTACTATTGTGCCAAAATCTGTTAACCGTATAGAGCGTTTTAAAATTCAATTAGATAGGAGTTTGAGTTATTTAAAGTATAAAAGTAGTCCAAATGATATGTATAATGATTTTTTTAATAATTTTTGTAAAGAATTTAATGATGTTTTTGTTCCCAAAACCATATGTGTTAGTGATGCAGTAACTTTCAGCGAGTGGGCCACCCCAGGCATACATAAAAGTAGAAGGAAACTTTATGAACTTTACAATGAACGCAGCATTAATACTAGTGAAAGTTTCAAAGAGTACGTACGTAATTATTCAAAGTTATTTAAAAAAGTATGTCGTAAAGCAAAATCAAATTATTTAAGTAGTAAGATTAAGAATAGTAATGACAAAATCAAAATGACTTGGAACATTATAAACAATGAAACTGGAAAATCTAAAACTCGAAATACTAGTTTTAATTTAAACATTGAACATAGAAATGTTACATCAGATGTTGAAGTTGCTACAGCATTTGAGAACTTTTTCACTGATATTCCAGTTTCAACTACAAAATCTTTGAACTCGTCCCCCATTGCTGCTGAATCAATATTAAAAGAACACACAAAACAATATACTAGTCAATTTAAATTTAAGTATGTTAACTGTAAAGATGTAATAAAATATTTCAACCAATTAAATAAAAAAAAAAACTGCGGATCTGTGGGGTAACTCCGTGGATGTTTCTGGATCAGTAATTGAGACAATAGCTCCTATTTTGGCTAGCATTTTTAATCAATGTGTTGACTATGGTGTTTTTCCTGATCTAATGAAATTCAGTAAAATAACTCCATTACATAAATCGGGTAGCACATCTGATCCCACAAACTTTAGACCTATATCCGTATTACCCACCTTTAGTAAGATTTTTGAAAAAAATATGCTAGATCAAATGCAATCATATTTTTATAGTAATAACATTCTTCATAGTAAACAATTTGGTTTCACAAGGGGTCGCTCAACAACCGATGCCGGTGTTGAGCTTGTACAGCAAATTTTTGATGCCTGGGAGAACTCGCAAGATGCATTAGGTGTATTTTGTGACTTATCAAAGGCTTTTGATTGCGGTTTTTCATGAAACATTGATCAGGAAACTTCACCACTATGGATTTAGAGATACCACTCTGGATCTTATTGTATCTTATTTGAGTGATAGGGTTCAGAGGGTTGACATCAATGGAGTAAAATCTCCTGGTTCGTCGGTTAAGATGGGAGTTCCGCAGGGCTCAATCCTTGGTCCTTTCTTATATTTAATTTATATCAATGACTTGCCCTATTTTGTAAAGGATAACCACGAAATAGTATTGTTTGCGGATGACACTTCACTTTTGTTTAAAATTAAACGTAGGGAGTCACAAATTGATGACGTGAACAGGTCTATTTCGAAGGTAGTCCACTGGTTCAATGTTAATAATTTGATGCTAAATGAAGGGAAAACTAAGTGTTTGAAATTTGTATTACCTAATGTGAAACAGGTAAAAACTAATGTAAATATAAAGGATCGACATATGAGCTCTGTAGATACCACAGTGTTCTTAGGAATCACACTAGATTCTAAGCTGCAGTGGGGCCCACATATTGATGGATTGTCGAAGAGACTTAGTTCTGCAGCATATGCTGTAAATACGGCAGTTAACGGATATAGAAACTGCCAGATTAGTCTACTTTAGTTATTTTCATAGTGTAATGTCTTACGGTATTTTACTGTGGGGAAATGCCGCCGACATTCAAACTATATTTGTGCTGCAGAAGAGGGCTATTTGATCAATTTATAATCTTAAAGTTAAGGATTCATTAAGAGATAAGTTTAAAGAAATAGGTATATTGACAGTTGCATCACAATACATATATGACAACTTAGTATTTGTAAAAAAAAATATTAATTTGTTTACTAAAAATAGTGAAATACATACATATAATACTAGAAATAAAAATAACTTAACTTTACCTGCTACTAGGCTCCACAAAATCAATAATTCGTTTAGAGGTCTTAGTGTTCGCTTTTACAATAAAGTTCCAAGCAATATTCAAGAGTTAAGCATGACTAAATTTAAATCGACCATTAAAAAATCACTAGTTAAGAAAGCATATTATAAAGTGTCTGATTATATTACAGACAAAAATGCTTGGGTATGAACTGTTCCAACCATTCCAACGGGTATTTCTATATGATTTAAATTATGAATTATGTGTTGACAATACTATAATTAAACTGAAAGCTGTATATAAAGTTAATAACTTAAGTAAGATTATCAGACTGTTTAAGAATATTTGATTGACAAAACGGCGTGGTCGTGATTTCTCCTTTGCTTTGTTTTGTAATTGTTTGTTGTGTCTTACAGGTAAATGACCTTAATTTAAGTAAATATGTTGTAGTTAGTATGGGTAGTTATGGGTAGTCATGCTCTCATAATAGTCTCTTCGGCGGTGTCGTGTGAGGCGGGTCGTTACGTTCCCTAAAATATGGTTGAGCGAAGCGATGGCTGGTTCATGCGTCATGCTCGTGAACGGGTGCTGCCAGCGGAGATGAGTCTGCCCTAACTTCCTTAATATTGAAGTTAATGTTTAGTCACACTGAATATAAATAACACTATTTGTATTTATACTGTATGACACAGCAATCAAAATGCAGGTAAACAATTAATGTATATTTAATAATTATGTAATGAAAAGTGACTTCATGAATCACCTCTGAAGTCATTTTTCAATTTGACGACTCTGTAAATAATAAAACTGGGAGAAAAAAACAGCCCTTGCTGAGTTTCTTGCCGGTTCTTCTCAGTACAAGGTCTCCCGCCGTAGATTTACGAACCGATGGCGTAGCTTCTAGACATTCATATGTGCTTGTAACAGCCTAAACTGAATAAATGATTTTGATTATGATTATTATGATTATGTATCACGGACCAAGGGCGTCGCCAGCTTATGACTAAAGGAGCAATGGGTCAATATAATAGGTAAGGAAGTCAATTGCTCGCACTTTGATCGCTTTGCGGCTAGCTACATTTGATCTCTAGGGGGGAAAGGCAGTTGCCCTCGTTGCCCCCCCCCCCCTGCTCCCCTTGGCGACGCTCTTGTCACGGACTCTGACATGCTTGCCCCTCTGCTCTGCTATGAAGGCAGACAGGCCGCCAATACAGCTGCATACTTCAAAAAAAAAAAACTGCGAATTTCCTCAGTTGATATAATTCAGATTGTTTTCTATAATTCTATAGGTATTCAACAGCATGAAGACCCTGCAGCAGAGTCGTGCCATCATAGCGACCGCCATCCTTGGTGTCATAGTGTCAACATACGCTCTGTACGTCGAGATGGCAGCTGAAAGCAAGCCTGGTTATAAGGCCTTGTGCGACATTTCCGAATACGCCAGCTGTTCGCGTGTCCTCACGTCGGAGTAAGTTTTTAAAGCAAGTTTACTATCGGCTCTTACCAGAGCACGCTGTATTGCAACTTTGCAAGTGCGTCAATACCACAGAACATAGAAAAAGGTCATTACCACAGAAAGATCTTCGTGCTTTGGTCAATAACTTAAAGGACAATGGGCAAAACGCACCCAGCTCCGCCAACAATGTAATTAGTATGAATCGATAGATCTATGAAAAACTAGCCTTTTTTATTTCCTGGCAGTCAAAAGAAATGACAAATGGGCATATTAAATATGCCCATGTAAAGTGAATTCACTTAAAATTTAAGTAGCTAAATAAATTCACTTCATAGTACCTTCATTTTATATTATTAGTAACCATAATAATATGCCATATCAAACTATACAACCAGATATAGATGACAAAGCCTGCCGACCATCCTGCGCTTGCACTTACTGAACCACCTCAAAACGGTTTACGGGGGTTGAAGGACTTGCAGTTGCAAATTGTCGACTCGTCTTACTTCGTTGTGATTGTGCGCTCCCGGTCACTTGATTAATTTGGACATTGGAACACGATTATCGGTTTTGTCAATTAGTATGGATGAAATGAAATCACGTTTTCTTTGAAAAGTGGACAAGTTTGTGTGATTTGTGGTCGCTCCGTTTTATATAGAAGAGAATTTACTATTACGAACAGACTGTTTGAAAAAACCCCAACCCATGCGGGGATTTTTGGATTTACTCTAACGCGGCAGAATGACACAAGGGGGCACCCTTGCACCTTGTAGAGTACTCCCATAATACCTGAGCCCTCTATGTAGTCGAACTAACTAAATTAATTCCCTTATTTTATTAATGTTCGTTCGTGATAGGTATGTATTAACTTGTACTTATTTAACCAAAAATAACCCGGGATGGAATTTGATGCGCTTTGTCACATATGATCATGACTATAATACCTTTCAAACAAATGTAGTTTAAGCCGTAGCAGACGTGGGTGCAGCGTCCATACATTTTTTCCCAATGTCCTTTATTATATAAGTAGTTAATACTGTATAACTTGATTAGGCGGGGTGGGTGTTCGACAACTTGTAATTCAAAACCTTAGATTTTCAGCGATAAAAACTTGTACGAAAGTAATAACATAAAAATTTTGAATCCTTATTTTGTATTTTTACTTAAAGCAATTTTTTATAATCAACAACAAATTAGTTGAAGTGATTATTCCTTACGAAACATGTCAAAAGAAATAGGTAGGGCTTTTAATCCCTATCCTCGTGTTGTATTCTGCATTCGTAGGGAAACGCTTATTTATTTTCCCTCAAAGCATCCTGAGACCGCTTTATTTCTTGTTCCGCAGGTATTCCAAGGGCTTTGGGATTATCCCCAAGGAATCTGCGTTGGAAGTGCCGAATTGCATTTATGGCACGTTGTTCTACTGCTTCATGATATTTTTAGGTAAGGTTCACCATAACGTAAACAGATAGTTAAGTATAATTAATAATATTGTATTACAATAGGGATGATGACGGGGTAAATTAACGAAATTCTATTTAGTCCGTCAGTTATATTATCGAAAAATCATAATTATTTTCTCTTGTCAATCAACCAAAAAATAACAAAGATAAAGCGCTTCAACGTTTGGGAGTGAGGGCTCGTGACGTAACTGCTAAGTAAAATTTGTAACAAGACGTGACGTTGTGCGACGTTTCAAATCAATTTATCTCTGTTATGTTTTGATTATGTGATAAAAGAAAAAGTACGTGTCCAAACAAAACTTTCTGATAATCTATCTACCTGATGGACGAATAAAAAAAGTTAGTCATCCCTATACTCATTTTTGCATCAAATGTTTAATACGAATATAACATACAGACAGTGGGTACTTTTCTTAATTTTTATAATGATGAGTAGGTAGATGAAGTGAAAGCTTTTAAGGCTGGTAAAATTCAGCAGACTTTTCAATGTCAATATAATAGGTAGGTACATATTTCTACATGGCCACAGAAATGACAACCATGTTTATTTAAAAAAAAAAGTCTACGGGAAATAGAGAAACCGTTCAACAGCAGGTCCGATTTTTAGGGCTCCGTACCTCAAAAAGAAAAAGGGAACCTTTTTATAATTTTAAAGTTACTACCTCTTTTCTCATGAGTGCGTAGAGGAATTAAATTGAGTTTTTACGGAACACTCGGTGCGCGAGTCCGACTCGCACTTGCTCGGTTTTTGTATTATAAAAATCAAACGCCTATGTTAAAATTATATCCATAATTTAATAACAGCTAATATAATAATGTTTCCTTTTAACTTCAGTCAGTCAATTTACTTAATTAATAAATTAAATTAAGTAAACCGTTCAGGATATTTTATGGGTAGGTACTTACTTACCTCTTTCCCGTCAATTATTTTTATAGTAATTTAAATCCCATGTAGTTCAAAATTACCCGTCAATTTAAAGTTTCCAGGACATAATAGATACATTCCTAGATGACGTATAAAAATGTTATCATTCTACACTCGTAGGTAGACAGACACCACTTTTACTACCACTTTAACATGCGTTGCCTATATTAGCCTACGGCCTCGTACGTTCACGTTTTAGCAATAAAAAATGTAGATATATTTGCCAGCCATGCCATTTAATGTTAATCTCGTAGTGAAATATATTTATTATTCTTAGGAGAAATCAGTGAAATCGAGATAAATAATGACGAACCTCGAACTGTAACTCAAGTACCTACTGCCAGACTGCTAACTTTTCGTATTATGTAAGCATCAAAGACTACTATAAAATGTAAAAGATAAGTCAATGTTAATCATTCAATCATCATAAACGATATTATATATCTTTGTGTGGAGTAGACGATAGCCTAAGCCTAAGCTATAAAGATGAGCAAGGGCTCATCATCATCATGTGCCATGGCAAGGGCCAAGGCTCTGCGTAGTCTTGAATCAAGACCAACCCACAGAACACAGTAACCTAACCAACCATCATAACTACTATAAAGCAAATTAATTTGGCAATAATATTTTAAAGAGGGAGGAAACTACAACTACCGCTTGCCTTGAAGAATATTATGAATTCGATGTCTCTTTATAATGCATATAAATATAATCTATACATATAATAAAATGGTAGGAAAGTTAAAACGGTACATTGAATATTTTGATAAAAGAATAATTGGGGTGTGATCTACAATCGACACCGAAGCCAAAAATATAGTTTTTAGAATTTTTGTCTGTTTGTCTGTATGACTGTCCGGGATAAACTCAAAAAGTACTGCATGGATTTACTTCTTTGGCAAGAACATTATTTTTTTTTTATTTTTTTTTATAATCTTCTTTATTTAGAGGCTTTTACCTTATAAAGATATGCCAGCCCCATCATATCCTAACATTATAAATTACAAAATTAATATAAAACTACGACGACTCATTGTTGCAAAATATATATATAAGGCTTTTGAATATTTCCGACTGCGAATCTGCCAATATTGTTGCGAATATACCTACACCGAACACATTTATATTATGTATTTGCAATAATGACATTGTCTTATTGTTATACTTAGTACACTCTACAAGCATGTGCTGAACGTCATCGACTGAAGAACATTATTTAAAAGTCGGGTCAACGTATAGGCTACATATTATCACGCTATCACCTACGGGGAACGATTTGTGAACCTTTATTTCTAACTAACTCTACGCGTACGAAGTCGCGGGCGGCCGCTAGTCAATGTATATAGATTTAAAGGACATTGTTCAGCGTCCATACATAGTTAGCCTAAGAACCAACAATCATGAAATATTATTTTCTAGGTTCAAAATCGTAAGTAAATGACTGTAAAAACAAAGATTATTGACGGACACTTCTGAGAACTTAAATTATTAGGAAAACTAAAATTTTTTTGAGGTTATGTTTAATATTCAATAAAACATACGTCAACCTATGAACTTAGTATGAACTCAGTATGAAGTGAATTAATATTACAACTAATTCATTTTATTCGGTGCGATTTTAAAGAATAACTATTAGGCAAAACTTGGTTCGGTAGGAATCATGAATAAAATAAAAATTGTAGTTTTGCTTCTTATTTATTGACTATTTTTCACATAATTGTATCATATTGTTTATTGTATTTATTTGTATATCACATGTATATTGTGTAAATATGCACCGTGAATGTGTATCAGGTGTTCTTGAATAATTTGGCAGTATGATCCTCTCAGGATGTTGTGGCACTGGTTCACTAGCACTTGGTAATAAGGGCTCTGCTCTTAGGTAACGATGGCACATTAGACAGCCGAAATAGTTAAATTAAAGGAAAAACAATCGCAAATAAACACACACAACAGGTAATCCGAAACGAGAATGCACTTTCCGGTATATTATATTACTATTCTTTGGAATGCCACAGATTACTACGAATGCAAACTGCATGCACCACAACCACAGAGTAACGAGTTTTATGCCGGCCCTTCACTTGACAACAGTTTGTTCTTGTCATGCTTAATAAGGAACGAAAAGGACAGACTGATGTCATGTTTTAAAATAGCAAATACGAATAGCCAAGTGAAGTGCCGGCATTGGGAAGAAAGAGTGTTTTATTTGCAGCGCTGCCATAGATTATACACATAAAATGGTATTTAATGTCTCAGATTATTTTTTAACTTTTTAATTTAGCTTACTTAACTGGAAGTGTCCGTCACAATCTAAATACTGATAATTATCGCAAAAAAAATACTAAGAATTATCATAAATGCCAAATTGGTGTTGATTCTTAGGCCAATTTTAACATTGTCCTTTATTTTCATGAAAGAAGTATGTGAGTCTTATTTGAAAATAATTTCATTAAACCCATATTGTTATATATGGTACCCATTGCCGGAAACAGTTTTGGATTGGATGCAATATTGTAGATGTACTGTTTAGGTAGGTAAGGGTTTTCACTTTTCTTGTATAAAAATATACCGAGCAAAGATCGATTGCTCAGGTACTGTAACTTCATATGGCAAACTAAGGAGATAGCATAAATAAATAGCGTTCCCTAAAATATAAGACTGGTAGACAGACAAAGCGACAGATATAGGTACTGAATGAAACCGTCCAAGACAGGATTGGCTAATATACGAGTATCTAGACGTACCTATTGATAAAAAATATCACTCTTTTGAAGTATCGATTGTTTTCAAAGAAGTTAGCATTTACCCAATACATTCAAGTTTTTTTTTAACTTTAAAACTGAGGAGGTTCTGAATTTGTCATTGGTTATGTTACTTTTTTAACTGCTGTCTCTCGTATACCTACGGCTGTTCCGCAAGTGGAACTATACACTTGCAATTTTATTTACACTCCAATATCCATGCTTTAAATTCGACAGTCTATTTTTGTGTACGTTCACTGATGCGGGAACCGTTCGAAGCCAAGGTATTTTTTTTTCAGTTAAAAAAAGCATTTAACAAAAGGCAATACGGATTATTCCGATAGCTCTGCAATTTACTGTTCTACGTACTTTACCTACTACTACTTCTATTGTGAGAGCGTACGAATTTCGAAGAAATTCTGTTTTTATTGTACCTACTTAGTAGGGTACTGTACTGACGCGCTTCTTTGAATGAACCTTGTTTTAAATTAAAGTTCTATTAACAGAGTCAGCGTAATTGTTAATTATATTTTAACTAGTGGCCCACCCTTGCTTCGCTTCGGTGTACAGATGTAGTGTAGACTACAGTTTTTGTTGTCTGGCTTGTATTTATGCACTTTTTTTAGGGTTCCGCAGTACTGACAAGGAACCCTTATAGTTTCATCATGTCCGTCTGTCCGTCCCCGGTTTTGCTTGAAGAATGTTAGTACTAGAGATCTGTATGTAATTTTGTTGAGATATGTGTAACGATCACGCAAAAAAAAGGTACAATAAAATTTTGAATAATATTTTTAGGGTAGCTCCCCTACATGTAACCTGGGGATGATTTTTTTTCATTATCTACCCCATCGTGTGGGATATCGTTGAATAAGTCCTTTAAAATAACTTAAGAGTTAAGACTATTTTTCGATATAGGTATCCGTTTGCGAAAAATTGAATTTTAAAGTGTGAATTTTTGTTCGAGTAGGTTGTCCCCCCTCCCCTCTAATAGCTAAACTATTAGCTCGATAAACCTGTTTTTATGTAAGTTTATGGAAATTTATAACGGTTAAGATTTGTTAGATTAAGAGTAAGTCGTTCAACTTTGGTAAAAGAAAATTTCTCCGTTTTTGAAAATTCCTTAGAAGAAAACATTGATAGTGACATAGATGATGTAGTTGTATCGTAAAACCTTGAAAAACAAAATCTAAAAAAATATTTAGAAACCACAATAAAATATCATTAGTTACAGCTGTATACAAAGTTACTACGATGCGAGTACCTACGCACGCTTCTGAATCACGCTATCTTTACGTAATGTACATTCAGGTG